CGAAAGAGGGGGGGGCCTTCAAGGAGATGGATTGACACGGTGGCTGCAATGATGAGCTCAAGTATAGCAGGGATTGTGGGGCTGGCGCAGGATTGGGCAGTGTTTCGTTGTGCTGTGCATGCGGTCGCTATGAGTCGCAAACGACTCGACGGCACTTAACAACAACAACAACAACTGCCTCAGAAACCCAAGGAGGGGTTGCTATGAGTCGGATCCGACTGGATGGCAGTGGGTTTGTTTTTTTGGTTTGGTTTATTTAAACGTAATATTTACTCTTAGGAGTGGGTACTAAAATATGTCTATACCAAGTAAACAACTCCTAGATTTTCAATGGAATCTAAACATGGAGATATGCAGTTGATTCTTTATTACTCCTTGTTTTTCCCCTTCCCTTTTGATGTAACGTTTCCAGATTATTTATTAGTGAAGAGATAGACTCAAATGGACTGAAATGAGAAGACTAAATTTCATACTCCTGCTGGAGTGAACCCATGGCAAATATAACAAAAGTAAAAGCCTTTATAAAAATTACAAGGAAAATGCAGTAGTTTAAGGGAAATTTGACAAAAGAGTAAAAACATTTCTTCAAAATTACTGAGTGCTTTAACTCCATGCTTTCTGTCAACTCAATGGATTAGAGTACTCTTCAGTTACATATTTTGTCAAAAAGGCTTTCACTATATTATGCAGTAACTATAAAATCCACGAGACCAACTGTATAAACATAACAGAATAAATCTATCTTTTTAATATATTTAGGTACAAATATTATTAGTGGAACCATATAAAACACAGGGACTTCACTGAATTTTATCATTAAAGGATATTTCATATTAAACAATATTTCATATTACTGTCATCTCATATATTAAAAAAAGGAGGTCTGGTGGCTAGAAGGTAAGGCACTTGGATGTTAACCAGAAGGTTGGCAGTTCAATCCCACTAACTGCACCATGGGAGGAAGAGAAGGCAATCTACTTCCATAAAGATTTACAGCCTTGAAAACCCTATGGGGGCTGCTGTGAGTTGGAATCAATTGGATGGCAGTGGGTTTCATATATTTAAAAATAGTATCTAGTACAATGTTAACAAATCAATGTTCAAAAAATTTTCTCATCACCAGTTGAAGGAAGTATTTCCAAAGCCTTTTTGAGTACTAGAGACTAAATAAAGGCCTTACAATCCACAGGGATTTTGAAATGGTAGGTATGTTTGATGGGATGGCTCTGTCACTACCTTCCCAAATTATAACATAGGAATTATTCTGGCACTATGTTTTATATAAATAAGTCTAGTTTATTATTTATCCTAAGGTTTTATTCTTATATGCATCCAAAACTCTCTTCATTTTTCTTATATCTCATATATGGAATGGCTTAATTCTATTTCTCGTAACTCAATTTCTCATTAGAACCATGACAAATATTTTAAGTATTCTGATTTCATTATTATGTCTTTCTACCTACTATCCTGTGTCCAAGCATTTACATAGTGATGCATGTATTATATTATTAAAAACAGTGCTTGCTTTTCTTTCTCCATTCTATTCTATGAGAGTATTATATTTATTTAAAATAATGTATAAAAGGTAATACTATTGATGAAATTTATTTGGATAATTTTTCCCCCCAAATGTGTATATGTTTTTCTAACTTTTCACTATGATTTGGGTGAAATTTTACAAAGCAGATTCATTTTACACCCAACAGTTCACATACATTTTGTTTTGTGACACTGATTACATCGCCCTCATTTTAACAGCCCTCTTACTACTTCCTCCTTGTGGGCTACCCTTTCCCCATGTCCTTCTTGCCTACGCATTCCTGCCTCCCTATCTTTCTCCCTGTGCAAATACCACCCTTCTGATCTCCCGTGGCTGGTTTTTCTAAGGAGTGTACCTCCCTGGTGTAGGTTGTTCAGCTTGCAGGCCTGGGTATTGGTTGGTTGAGAATTAAGCCATGAGAATGAGTTCGATTACAGGTCTCAAGGGTGACTTGAGGCCATAGTCTCGGGGGGTTCACCAGTCTCTATCCAACCAGTGTTATCTGTTTTTTTTTTTTTTTTAAATGTTTTAAAAATTTTGTTGCATATTTTTTCTTTTACTCAATCCAGGATCTCTAATTTTGATCCCTTTCTGAGTGGTCAGCATTGGTAGCCTGGTACCATCTAGTTCTTCTCAGGGTCACACAGGCTGAGGTTCTCATGGTTCATTACTCCTTCAGACTGTTTCCATGTGTCCTTGATTTTCTTCATTCTTCTTTGCTCCACACAAGGAGAGACCAATAATTGCATTTTAGATGACCATTCACAAGCTTTTTAAAGACCTTAGTTGCTACTCACCAAAGTAAGATGTAGAACAATATTTCTGTGTACTATGTTATGCCAATTGAGTTTGATGTCCCCAATGACCATTGTCCCCAGCCTGCAAGCTCTGATATTTATTATTTTAAAAAAGATGGGAAATTACAAGAGGTAGAAATGTTAGAATGATCACCTCAGCTTCAGAGTCCTTCAATTTCTGAACTTTTTCTTTGACCTTCATCTCAAACACCTGCTCCATCTCCATCTCCATCTTCTTCATCTTGGCTACATGCTCTCTTCTTTCTTCTTCCATTTGTGCCAAAGGGCTCCTGTCATGTATATTAAAGACAACCATTACGTTTGAAAGTGAAAGCTCTGAAGCAGCTGTTGAAAACAAGGAACATGTTACATGCAACTCCTATGTTTCTTCTAAATACATTTCAAAATATTACCAGCTTTGACACCATCTTAAATGATACAGAATACAGATTTTAAGTTTATGTACAAACAGGTTAAAATTTTGAAACTAAAATTTCTAAACAACCTAGAATTTCCTTCCATGAGGTTTCTTATCTGAACTTGCATCACTAGGGAATACTTACATACAAATTAAACTTTAGAAGGAAACATTCCCAAAATACCATCAGAATGAAAAGCCAGACGAAAATTATTTTTACAGATTTTAAGTTTATGTATAAACGGGTTAAAATTTTGAAACTAAAATTTCTAAACAACCTAGAATTTCCTTCTATGAGGTTTCTTACCTGAACTTGCATCACTAGGGAATGTTTACATACAAATTAAACTTTAGAAGGAAAACAGAAAGGAAATATTCCCAAAATACCATCAGAATGAAAAGCCAGAAGAAAATTACTTTATTTTATACTTTGTTTAAATAATATTTTAATTTTGAGGGGAAAAAAAAAATTTAGTTCATGAAGTTAATACATATAGAATATTCTTGTTGTTGTTATGTGCCGTCACGTCGGACCCGACTCATAGTGACCCCTCCTTGGGTTTCCGAGGCAGTATCACTACCGAAGTAGATTGCCCAACCTTCCTTCCAAGGAGTGGCTTCTAAAATTCTAAGTACAGGCAGTCCCTGGGTTACAAATAAGACCTGTGGCTAAGTCTGTCTATAAGTCGAATTTGTAGGTAAGCTGGAACAGGAAGGTAAGATTTTTTATTTACTGTCAGTCACATGTTTGCCTTAGTATGTAGTATATAATTTACCTTTGTATGTATATGAAAGACAAGAAAGAAACACTTCCAAACCATGCAATGTTTCCAGGAGTGTTAAAAAGTAGAATGTGCACCTGTTCTTATGAATCACTGGAATCAACTCAAGTTTTTAACATAATAGGCTTTATGACAATCTGAAGGAGCTCTGCTTACATAGCGTTTAAACCATCTGGCTGCTAACCAAAAGCTCAGTAATTCAAACCCACCATCTGCTCTATGGGAGAAAGATGAGGCAATCTGCTTCCATAAAGACTTTAACAGTCAGTCTTGGAAACCCTAAAGGGCAGTTCCACTATGTCCTATAGGTCATTATGAATAAGATTTGACTCGATGACAGTGGGTGGGTGGCAAGCCATTCTTAAGTACGAGTTGTCCGTAAGTTGGATGTTCAAAACCCAGGAACTGCCTGCATTACAATCTTTTCTTCTAACACAACTACTGACGCTACAATTACATGATTAACCAAAACAAAAACCAACACACTGCCGTCAAATCAATTCCAACCCACAGTGACCCCTCCTTGGGTTTCCAAGACAGTTTCTCTATGGAATTAGATAAGCCCAGTCTTCCTTCCAAGGAGTGGCTGGTAGGTCTGAACTGCCAGCCTTCTGGTTAGCAGTCAGTTAACAATAATTCAAACTTATTTTGGTAACTGAATTGAACAACTACCAATCAATATCTAGAGAATCTTCCATTTGGGTATGAAGAATATTTCTAGGTCCCTATGGTAATTTCAAGTCCTGGTAACACAGTGGTCAGAAGTGCTCAGGTGCTAACTGGAAGGTCAGCAGTTTAAACCCACCAGCTGCTCTGTGGGAGAAAGATGTGACAATCTGTTTCTGTAAAGATTACAGTCTTGGAAACCTATGGGGCAGTTCTAGTCTGTCCTATAGGGTTTCTATGAATCAGAATTGACTTGACAGCAATGGGTTTGGCTCTGCTTTGGTACGATAACTTCAATGCCCTTGCAAATTCACGCCACTTAAGTATTTCACTGTCTTAAGTTATAAAGATGTTAGATGATTTAAAACACACAAACACACACAAGAGATAATCAGAAGCTAATAAATATTTTTATAATTATTCATCTAAAAAATGTCAGAAAATAGACACAAGCAGTTAAAAGTAATTCACTCCATTGATATTAAAGGTCCATAGGCTCAAATCTTTTCACAATATGTTTAAAATTTTCATGGTGAGAAGTATTAACAGTTGAGTTCTATTTTAAGGCTAGTATATTTCTACATGTGTCATAAGAAGGCTGGCAATTCGAACCCATCAGCCACTCCATGGGAAGGAAGACTGAACAATCTACTTCCATAAAGATTTACCACCTCAGAAACCAGAAGGGAGTTGCTACGAGTTGGAATTGAATCGATGGCAGTGAGTTTTTTTTTTTGTTTTTGTTGTTTGTTTTATATTTGTAACAACAAATAGATGTCAAAGTACCCTACTATAGGCCTAGGATAGAAAGAAAAACAGTTTCTGTGGCTTTGAGAGCCTTTGAAAACTATTCAATACACCAGGAACAACTTAAAAGAGGCAGGTCCCTCTTGGGATTTGTTAATAAAATATGTTTATATTGCTTCCAGAAAAACAGGCCTGGACCACTGAATTATACAACTTAAGTGAGTAAATTTTAATTTCAATAAAGCTATTTTAAAATAAAGAATTAACTCATGACTTAAAAACAACAAAACCCAGGCCTTAATGACCTGTAACTTCAAGGACTAGTAACTTTAATACTGATTTGACACATTCTGATTGTGGTGGCTTCTTTCCTCCTTAGGCTGAGTTTATACCTCACCATCAGAACACTATTCTTTCCTGTCAATGAAGAGAACAAGAGCTGGCTGAAAAGTATTAAGAAAGCATAAAAAGGGCAGAAATTGGATTCAAATAAGTTATGAGACATTCTTCTTAGTGAAAAAGAAGGACAAAGATATGATGTACTGACGTGATCTAGATAAACTGTTTATGCAATCAGTATAAATTGGAATAAATTGATATTTAATTCAAAGGTATTTCTTTGTCAAAAGAACACTTACTTCTATATGCAAATCTGCAGAAGCAATTTATCAAAAGACCTAAAATTGAAACAATTAAAACAAAATATTAACCTAGAAAAAGAACCAGCATTCAAAAAACTGAGGTCAACAAAGCTTGGCCAAGATGGCAGAGTAGGAAGATATAATAACCAGACTACGTCAAAGACCCAAGAAATCCAGTGAAATGGATAGGAATGACAATCCTGGAAACCAGAGCTTCAAAGGAAAGGATAAAGAAGTAGATTCAATATCAATTAGAGGAAGGAGGTTGAACGAAAACAGTGAATAAGGAGGTATGTACAGAGCAATGAATGCCACATGGTCCAGCACAGTGCAGCCACTTTTTAACCCCAATTAGTGTTCCAACTGGGGCAGGAACCAGGTAACTACTGGCTTTGCTCGCCAAGGACTGCACTGACACCCACACTAGTAACAAGTGACCAGAAATGTGTGATCTCTCCTCTTACCCTGCACAACCACTCAGTGACCAAAGGCGTGATCCTCCACTTATCTGGTAGCCACCGCTGTGCTGCATCATTTTTTTCTTCTTAGTTCATCTCCTCCTCCATTTTATTATTGTTTACTTCCTTTCCTCCCTTTTTTTTTTTTAAATCCTGTGGAGGGGGTGCCTTGTCCCACGCTACCTCCATGGTCACTAAAACCTGTCTCAGTCCCTCTGCAGTCAGCAGTGTCCTAACACCACAGTCATGTATAGCAGCTAGCACTTACATAAGTACTGTGCTGCTTTTTATAATCTTCTTTTTCTTCTTGGTTATTTCCTTTTCCCCTCTTTGGTTTTTTCTCATTCTTCCTCTTATCCCCATCCTTCTTTTATCTTTGATCCTGAAGAGTGGGTACCCACCCTGCCTGTACTGCCTACGTAGTTAGTAGTGACACCTCTGTGGGTGGCCGTGTGTGATCCACGTCCCCCCACCTCCACGATTTGCAGCTCCCATTCCTAACCCTCTGCAGTCAGGCGTGTCCCTGCTTGCACAGCAAGCACCATGTTCTAGCAGCAGCGATGATCAGTGGCTAGAATTTTTACTAGTCCCAGTTCCGTTTTTCTCTTTTTGTTCTTCATAGCTCTTCCTCCCCCCCCCCTTGTTTTTATTCTTCCTCTTCCATTTTTTCTTATTTTTAATGTTTTGTTTATTTACTTATTTTTCAATTCTCTGGAGTAGGTACCCAACCCCTACTGCCTCCATGGTCAGCAGTGACTGCCTCTGTGGGTAGCAGTACATGATTCTGCTGAATAATGGCCCTATGCCTTACCACCACTACAGTCAGCAGTGCTCAGTCCTGACCTTCTGTGGTTGGTGGTGCATACTACCATGCAGTGAGCACTGTGTTCCCAATGTAGCCATTTTTTGGCAGCTCATGCTTGGCCACTTTTGTGGTACTTTTTTCCCCTCTTTTCTCTTAGTTCTTCTCTCCTTCTCTCTTGTGTTTTATTTCCTTTCCCTCCCTCCTCTTTTTTTCCCCATCAGTCAGGAGCCAGTGACTCTATTCAGCCAATCACATCAAACCTGCCCCACCTGACCCACTGAGCAATTGCCACCATGCACTCCTGTACTACTGGAAATGATGACAGATGGTGGACAACACTAACCCAGCCTGCCCTCAGCTGCCCCACACAACCAATGATTAGAGATTCATGCCTACACTCCCATCCACTACCAAATTCACCCAAAGACAGGTGGTGAACAATGCAGTATAGTTGAACTAGCAATCAGGGTAGAACTCCTAGCCTGTTGCCCAGACATGTTAAAACAAAACAGAAAAATCATGGTGAAACAAATCAACATACAATAAACAAATTAGTAACATCACAATGTCTTGGAGACAAAAAAACAACTTCAAATCAGAGCAAAAAAGCCCAGGACAAGATGGCTCAAGCCAAGTTATAAAATACCAATCTTCTGGAGAAAGAAATGCTACTAGAATTATTTGATAAGAAATTCCAAGGAATTCTACGTAGAACTCTATAACAGATTAAGAAATAAAAGAAAACAAAGACAATGTGAAGGAAATCATAAACA